CAATGAATTCACCTTTTTAGTGAGAACTGCTACCTCACACATCCTCACCAACAGTCATGCCCCCTGGCGTTCTCCCCAACAGGGAGCGAGAAATGCTTCACGTTCCCCGTGCCGGCCGTGCCGGAGCAGAGGGGCAGGCTGCACCTTCACCTCACCCTACAAGGCTACGAGGCGAAGGACAGCGAGTCGGTCACCATCATGGAATACCCCAGCCTCGTCTTCGTCCAGACGGAGAAGTCGCTCTATCTTCCCGGGCAGACCGTCCGGTTCCGGGTCCTCGTGCTCGACGCTGCCCTCAAACCCCTCGACGACCAGGTTTCCTTCCTACGAATCACTCCTTAAAGATGCAATGTAGAGGAAAGCGTCAGGTTAAAAGGCGTAAAAATTTCGGGGGCTTGTTCTGGTGTCGGTCCATATCTGCATGGACCCAATTCATCGAGAGGCATCGTTCATCCCGATACTGAATGGTCGAGGAGTCGCACATCTGAAAGTTGGAAACTACGAAGCCAAAAAAAAATTATTCGGAAACTTTTTATTCCTAAGGGTTGATGTTTCATACACGCAACACACATTACTTAAGTTTAAACGATCAAGACAACCGGCAAATCTTGAAAGTCCCTTGTTCTCGATTCATTCTTCGAATCCAGAAATTTCACACATTTCCGAAGATGATTCCTAAGATGATTCCTCGTGACGATTGCAGGTGAGAGAAGTCTGGGTGGAAGATCCATCGGGTACCCAAACAACCCGATGGAAAGAACCACCCTCCAAGGCCGGATTCGTGCAGCTCCAATTCCAGCTTGCTCCAGAGTCATCTTTCGTCAGTTCTATCTTCTTGATACTATTAGGATATAGAGCGAATTTTCATTCTCCATAAGAGCATGCAACCGGAATATCCAACCAGCAAGCAGGAAGATATTCATTTCCAAAGCACCCGATTCACATGTATTTTCTATTTCTCATAATTGGTCGGAAAGTAATTCATGAATCGTGAATGCTAAATATTACAAGGAATCGTTCAGTTCACTCCGCTAATTTAATTTCCTTCACGAAGTGTGGCTCGTATGAAAGTTAATAGCGTGGAGGCAGCTATTTTTCTTCCATTCATTTTTTCGCGGGTCTCCTGGTTTGTTCAATAGGGGAACTGGATGATCAAGGTGGCCGTGATGGGGAGGAGTCGCGAGGAAGCGAAGCAATTTGAGGTCTCCAAGTACGTCCTCCCAAAGTTTTCCGTGGACATCCAAACGCCGAAGGTCTTCTATGGGGATGCATCCACCCTGGACCTCAACGTTTGCGCCAGGTCCTCACGCTCCTCCGATCCCGTTTAATGAGAATGGACTGCGGTACCTTTCAGCTTTTCCAGTAATCATGAACGATCACTTCCCCAGTCAAAAATGTTCCGATGGTTTATCGTTGGGGAAGTTTCCTTCACCTCTCCCAGATGAAGGAGCAGGAGGGGGTCAAATAATGCGTCATGCTGTAGATGCTGTTTATGTGGGTCTTTTCCCTATATCTTTTCACCATTGGGAAAAGTCGGTTTATGGGTGTGGCATATGCCGTTTCCCAACAATGAGCCAAAGTTGGCCCGATGAAGGGTCAAAGTTGGCCCGATGAAGGGCCAAAGTTGGCCCGATGAAGGGCCAACAAGTCATGCTCGACCATAAGCCGGCTTAGACGAACCCTATGCCAGTGATGGCCCAACTAAGGCTTATATACGCGTCGACGAAAAGCCATCGATGCCCTGATGAAACATTTTTTACTGGGTTTAGTTGACGTGGAGGGAATAAACCATATTACAAACTCAATATTTAAAAATATCATTGTCATATTCGTCAGCTCCAAATCGTAGGAAGTCTACAGAACGACGCCACTGCAGCACAGCCCAGACTTTATCATCACTGCAACACCGGTATTTAAATGAGAAGACAGCCTGCCACCCAACGCGATGCTGCTCTACTTTGGGTTTCGGAGAAATGGCCTGCAATGCCGCTTCTATTCTATATAGAGAATATTTTAAAATGCCATTCTCTAACTAGAGTACAGTCTTCTTAAGTATTCAAAATTACTTTAAATAACTGAAGGTAACAGGTTTGATGGCAAGATACTTTGGAGATCCATATGAATTCATGCTCATTTTATACGTGTAACCCTCACCATGCAGAATGCATAACTTCTACTCTTCGCCTTCTCCTCGTTGACAATCCTCAGATATACCAACGGCGGAATAGTGGAAGGCGAGTTGTCACTCAGGGTGGAGCCGAGCATCTTCCTGTTCGACTACATCAGGGGGAGTTATCCGGGATTTATGAAGGCATTCCACATCAACGTGGATAAATACACCCCTGTCATCCATCACCGTGTGAGAAGACGTTACGAGCATGCTTTTAGTATAGATGAACTGATATGTTTCGATTAATTGTTATGTTTCGATGAACTGCTATGTTTCCATGGGCTGTTATGTTTCGATCCACCAGTCTTGCGAATCTTCATTGCCTGTCGCATAACTCCATTAAAAAGCTTCTCCTTTGCTTTCTGAACCTTTCTTGAGACGGAATGAAAGTAGCTGCTAAGAAAACATTCGTTTTCCATCTCTCACTCGTCTTATTGGCGATCTCCGATCGGTTTTCATCATGCTTAGAATTCCCCTCGCAGATGAAGGGCTGCCACAAGGCCAGCATCCCGGCGGAGGTCCTGGGGATGGACGATCAGGAGCTGGCGCCGTCGGCCGTTAATATCACGGCCATCGTGAGGGAGAAGGGGACGGGCGTCCGGTTCGAGGAATCCGTGGTCCTCGATGTTGAAAGGAATCCCCTGGATTTAGATCTTCATGTCTCCCCGACTCATTTCAAGCCTGGTTTCGTCTACAATGGCCTGGTGAGCCGATCCAAGGAGTCGAAAAGGCGTGGAATACGCATCAACTTCTTTTCTTTCCGTGCCATAAATATCTTTCATGAAAGTGTTGGAAACTCACGAAAACTTTCCTCGCGTTTTGAGGAAAGTTTTCTCGATGGATCGACATAATCTCGTTTTGAGCCGCTGTTGGAGCCAGCCATAATCCGCAGGGTATTTCTGAAACCTGTTACTCACCCGATTCATGGCCAATTTTTACACGAGCCCCAAATCCGCACGAGGAGCTATGGACAACATTCCTGTATGTAATACATGTAACAAAATGTTACATGTATTACATACAGAAAGATACATACAGAAAGAAAGCAGATGCAAAGAGCAAATAGCTGCCCTTAGACAAAAAGGCAACTCAGAGCGAAAAAACCCTAAAAGACGGGCGAAGTGAAGGCTCGGATTCCTAAGTGGTCTTCCGCTTTCAGCTCTTGTTTAGAAAACATCAGGAACCTAAGCATGACATTTCTTGCTGTGAGTGACATGAATCGATTCAGGCGAATCATGAGCAACCATGCAAATGGGCGACTAGACACTTAGCTCAATCTTTTTATTATTATTATTATTATTATTTTTTTTTTTTTTTTGGGGGGGGGGGGGG